TTGGTTGTATTAGTTGTGGTGTTCTGGTTAGAGTAGTTTAGTTAGTTTTAGTGTTGTGTTGTAGTGCATATCGGCATTATCTAGTATTAGAGGATATTTCGCACTTTTACAACGTACGTACAAGTCCTGCCGATCATGATTCCGAATTATCCCGACCCGGACCCTGTATGAGTGGAATATACTACGTACGTACGTACGTAGATATTTTTAGACTGTGCATCGTGCACAAGCTGTGTAATTTGTGATGAAATTAAAAAAAAAAACCACGATTCGCCCATATTCTGAATTTAAGTAAACTGTATACGTATTAACGTTAAAGGTTATTCTAAACTCTTGCACAAAAATAATGTGCATAAGGGGAAATCTATGATTTAGCGAAACGTTTCACGATATGTCCCGACTGCGGTTTTTTTAGCAAAATATACAATATTAGTTAAATTATAAATTTCTAAAAATCTCTATAAAACAATGGAAAATTTTCATACTACTCCCTATATAGTTTTACCAGAAGTATATTATAATTCTGAACAAGACGATTTTGAAGAGTTGATGAGTGATAATCCAGAAATAAATAAATAAATTTATTAGAGAAAACGATGGCTTAAAATGGATACCTTACGAACAATTATCCGATATTGAATATCTTGCTCATGGAGGGTTTGGTGTGGTATTTAAAGCTAGATGGAATTCTCAAAATGTTGCTTTAAAGTGCTTAAATAATTCCAAAGATTTGACGGCTGATGTCTTACAAGAGATCACTCATTATCGACTGTTTGATCATAGTAGATATATTATTTATGTTAATCAGTGTTACGGAATTTCTCAAGATCATATAACGGGCAACTATCTAATGGTAATGTACTTATTTAAAGGTGGAAACTTAAGACAATATTTAAATGATAATCATAATCAATTATCTTTTGGAGATAAACTTGGGATGTTATACACTATGGCAAATGGATTATGCAACATTCATTCTCAAGGACTAATTCACAGAGATTTTCATCCGGGTAATATACTAAATAGATATAGCGGAGAATTGAACCTTGAAAGTCTAACATCCAACAAAACAACACAAAACATCGGTTGTTATATTACTGATTTGGGATTATGCAAGCCAATTGATGAAGCAAATGATGACAAAACAATTTATGGAGTACTGCCCTACGTTGCACCTGAAATTTTAAGAGGAAAGCTATACACACAAGCTTCTGATATTTATTCATTTGGAATAGTTGCGTACGAAATATTTTCTGGATTGCCACCTTATTACGACATTTCTCATGATATCTCCTTGACCATAAATATATATAACGGACTTCGTCCTAATTTAAATATTATTAACGTACCTCAGCTATTAAAAGAATTAATTATCAAGTGTTGGGATGATAACCCTTTAGTCCGTCCAACAGCTTCTGAGTTATTTGGACTTTTTAGTAGATGGTATCATGATCGGGATGATGAATTTTGTCGTCAATATAAACTTATAGAAGGCTCAGAAAAATCAACATCAGCAACATACCAAATACATCCGCAAGCCATTTATACGAGTCGACTACTTGATTTAAATTTAACAGGAACTGATTATTTTTCCGAGGCATTGAATGAACTTCGCATTGTGGATAATTATAGTGTAGCGGCTAACATTACATAATATCCTGAAAGTTTTAGAACATCTTAGTAAAATTAGGAGGAAAGTCTTAGCAATAATAAGTAATATGAGTAAATGCCTTCATTCAAATTATCGTGCTTTTCAAATTACTGTGATCAGCAGATGATCATCCATCACACGGAAATCCGTAAAATTCCATTAAATTCATTATTTTTTAAAAAATTTCCATTTAAAAAGTTAGAATTCCAAAAATTCCTTGTCAAATTCCGATTCTCTTGTATATCATCCATTATTGTGCTATATCTTGAAGTGGTCGGATCAAAGAATACTAAAATTTTTTGGTTTTCTTTACTAAATTTTCTCAAACTTCAAGTGAATCTATCTTGATAATAGCTGGTCGTTTTCGATATTCAAAGCCATTTTCAAATTCTGAAGGCTTGTAGGATTCGAAAATGGCCTTAAACATTGAAATTGACTGGGCTATTGTTGAGAAATCTTCAATCAAACTTTTAAAAATATTTAATATTAGAATTTTATACATAATATACGCAATACATTTGGCTGGTATAATTTTCAGCCAATCACAGGCTTGCATTTTACTAAAATCCTAATTTCCAGATTTTCCGTGATGTGTGATGCATGAATTTTGCTGATCACAGTAATTTGAAAAGCACTGTAAATATATATTTATTTCTTGCTTTTATTATATAAAAAACACGAAAACATTATAAATCTCTTTTTGATAAATTTTTACCGAATTAACATTTATCATTTTATTTAATTTTTTTTTATTTATTTCATTCCTCGTATATTTGCTTCGTTCTATGTAATAAAAATGCAGTCTTAGACGTTAGAGTTTTATCTTTAATGACTAACCTTTGTTATGTTAATAAAAATATATAAGGCCTGTGAATTCGCCTTTGTAGTATCTTAAATTTCTGAGTGATTTTTCCTTTATGAATAAAGACCTCTGAGTGATTTCTTATTTATATCGTATCTTTTATTCGCATTGATTGTAGTTGAAGTGTTATTCATCGTATTAGTCTTGCGTGCATATCTATTGTTGTCTCTATCTTAATCCGTATAACCCCGCTGAGTGCTTGTATCTCTTATTTTATTCATTCGTACACATTATATTATCACATACTCTATTTTATTTTACTATCATGATCTAAACCCGGCTCCACCTCGAACCTACGCTCTCCCGATTTGGTAGTAACACTGTATTGACCCTACTATTTCTATTAGATTTATACATTACTTATGCCTACTCTTTTAATATAATTTATATATTGTCTAGTTTTTTTTGTTAGCGGTAGGGTAGAGATTAGTATCAAAGATCAATAGTAATGCAACGTATAAACATCCCTGATATTTGTTAATTAATGAGTAATCGTTTCTTCATATACGAACAACTCGAATACTTGTTATACGACTACTTGTATTTTCATATACATTTGGTTGTTTTCCTGTTTCGTAATTGCAATCACTATAAATTTTCTTTGATGCTAATAATACTGCACACATACATTAATTATAGGATAAATACAGTGCAATTATTTCTTATCGTAACTAGCAACCCGAGCTTATAAAGAGATAGTTGGGGTTCAACATGCCCCTTTACACAATATATTTATGTTTATCAAAGTTTATTTCTCCAATATTTAGTTCCAGTTCCACAGTTCAATTGGAATGATACAATTAAAGTTTATTTGGAATATGAAATTA